CGCGCGCCAAGAAATCGCTGCCCAGCTCCCTTTTCCTGCCGCTCAGCTGCCTCCGCTCGCACCACCCGGGCTCCGCTCTTACCACCTGGGCTCTGCTCAGGTATCCGGCTGGGGCTGTCAGGAGTTGCTACCGCCGGCGCGGCTCTGCGTGGCTCCAGTCCCGCGTTGCCTCGGGAAGGGAAAGGCAAAACCAGGAGCCGCTGCTGCCGTTGCAAAGCGCCGCCGCGGCTCTTCCTTTTTGCCTTTCCCTTCCTGAGGCAACGCGGGACTGGAGCCACGCAGAGCCGCGCCAGCGGTAGCAACTCCTGACTCGGGGCCTCCGAGGGAAGGGGAAGGAGGAGAAGAAGGGGGGGAAAGGGGGGGGCGATTCCCAAAAAAATCGGAATTCCGATTTTAATCGGAAGAATATCATGTCTACATTCCTTTCTGATGCTCTTGCTAGCTTTCTCTGTCTTTGCATAAAACCCCCTCCCTTTCGTTGTTTCTACTGAAAAAAATATATCACCCTAGCCAAGGAGGCGCTCGAGACCCTAGCCCGGTCATTGACAGACACATGATACATTCCACAGATACATAATAGATCCATGATGGCGAACCTATGGCACGTGTGCCACAAGTGGCACACAGAGCCATTTATGCTGGCATGCGAGCTGCAGGCAAACTTACCTCACTGCGCATATGCGCGCCTCACAGCTGATTTTCGGCCATTTTCGGTCTCCCAGAGGCTTCAGGTAGGCTTCTGCACACTTCTGCAGACTTTTCAGGTTGAAAACTAGGCCCATTTTGTCACTTCCTGTTTTCCGGAAATACCAGAAGTGATGAAACGGGCCTAGTTTTTGGCCTGAGAAGCCTGCAGAAGCCTTCCTCAAGCCTCTGGGAGGCCGAAAATCAGCTGTGAGGTGCAGTGCAGGTAAGGGGGCGGTGGGGTAGGTGGGACTACGTGCGCATGTGTAGGGGACGTGGGGGGGCATGCATTGCCTTCTGGGTAGTGGCACGCAAGCACGAGCATGCAAGCGCGCACACAATTTTTGGCACAGGAGCCCAAAAAGGTTAGCCACCCCTGTAATAGATTGTTAAGAAAACAGGAAGATCTGCCGGGGCTATGAAGAATAAATAAGATAAGAACATCCGTCTAAGGTAAAAGCCTGACAGCCCAGCAATAAATATAAGATATAACACTGAGGCACAGGAAACAATATCACGCTGACCCCAAGTTGGTAGTTTAGCATATAGAAAAGAAGGGGGTGCAAGGAGAGGGCTTTCTAGGCGTGGCGTGTTCTGTGCAGGGGTATCAAATGTATTGTTTAAGTCGTGAAATTTGTTCTCCTTGTACTCAATCCACTTGGGGAAGGGTCTTGGAGGCCGCGTTTGCAACCCCTTTTCTTTCCCTCAATAAATCTTTGAAATTGTGAACCAGAGGCTTGTCTTCGCCGTGGTGAGTATTTCTACAATTATTGGGGATCTTAAATCTCACACCGAGAAGCAAAAGGAAAAGAGACCTTGTTTAAGAGTGTGGCGGCGGCGAATGGAAAACAAGAGGAAATTATAAGGTGAATAAAAAAACCGGATTATAAAAGGACTATAATGGAATTAAGAGACCAAATTTGGAATAAGACACAGGAACTGGCATTCGTTAGGCATTGGAGAGAATGAGGACTAAGTCCCGATAAAAGACGACGGGGGTCACTTACTGTCTGCCGACTTCTGCAAACGCTAAAGAGTGGATGGTTTTACAGGTGACGTTGGCGGGGAAAACCTGCGACGCCTGGTTGGCGATGGTCCTGTTGAACGCCAAGTACAGGAAGTTCTGCTCGGACCACTTCCTGGCGTACTGGATCAGAGTGGATGTTTTGCCAGTGCCTGCGCGAAAAATTACGAACATTTCAGTCCTTCTGGGTTGTTTGTTTTGGTTTGTTTTTTTTGTAAGACCACACCTGGAATCCTGCATAAGTGGTGCAGGGGCCTAGTCCAGGGGTCGCCAATCAGTGGGCAGGGGGGATCACTGGTGGTCCGCAACAAAATTTTGGTGGTCCGCAGAGAAATGTCCCCCACCAAAGCAATTAATCCAGGCTGCGCGGGATTAATTTTGGTCTAGTGGTTAAAGACCCCAGGCTAGAAAGCCTTTCCTTCCCTCCCTCCTTTCCTTCCCTTTCTTTCCTCCCTCCCTTCCTTCCTTTTCTTCCCTTTCCTTCCTTCCTTCCCTCCCCCCCTCCCTCCCTTCCCTTCCTCCCTTTCCTCCCTTCTTTCCTTCCTTTCCTCCCTCCCTCCCTTCTTTCCTTTTCTTCCCTTTCCTTCCTTCCTTCCCTCCCTCCTTTCCTTCCCTCCCTTCCTTTCCTCCCTCCCTTCCTTCCTTTCCTTCCTTCCCTCCCTCCCTCTTTTCCTTTCCTTCCCTCCCTTCCTTTCCTCCCTCCCTCCCTCCCTTCTTTCCTTCCTTCCTTTCCTCCCTCCCTCCTTTCCTTCCTTCCCTCCCTTCTTTCCTTCCCTTCCTTCCTTCTCCTCCCTTCTTTCCTTCCTTCCTTCCTTCCCTCCCTTTCCTTTCCTTCCTTTCCTTCCTTCCTTTCCTCCCTCCCTCCTTTCCTTTCCTTCCCT